GATTATAATAAATAAATAATAAAATAATCTTGCTTACACCTATTCATCAAAAATGTTTGAGTCTCCAATACTTTAAAACTAAATTGTTTACTTTTCTGAAAGTCTCCCCACCCCCCTAAATGCACCTAACATAACAAAGGTGTGCAGATCTTTCTCTCAGGGGCGTGACTAAACTTCATACCACCAAACTAAACAGTTGTTACTACAATGTCAACTACTGGTGGAGCTGGTGCTCTTACACACATTATACACACACAAGTTTCAAGAGAAGCGGCTCCTTTGAAGCCTACTCGCATGTGCTTCTTGCTCTGGACAGACTTGCATCAAGTCGGAAGCTCCCAGCGGGCTCTGACTTCCCGGGACCCGACTCGGTGCTGGAGCACAGGAGCGGGCGCAGATGCAGTGATTACAGGCGGCTGGCCGCGTTCCCTGCTCCGGCCCCATTGTTTGCCGAAAATGCTGAGGGCAGCAAGTCTGGGGAAGGTTTGGCAGCGGCCGTCAGTCGTAGTAAGTGCGTCACAATAGAGTTTGTAACTCAGAGCGCGGATCGGCCGGGCTCTGTTGCTCTCCGCCTCGGTCCCTCTAGCTCCTGGCCCCGTGTGCCACACCAAACCGGACAGAACTCCTCTTGGGTGCAGCCGTATTGTTAAGTGCACCTTCCCAAATGGGGGGCTCCCCAGGGCCGTCCCAGGCACCCCCAGCGAAGTCCACAATTTCAACTAACTCCGCACGCTCGGCGACTCTGGGCGCGCGGATCCCTCCACCCCGAGACCCTCCCCTCCGAAGGCAAGCACACCGAACTCACGTCCGCCCCTTCCCTTCTGTGCGTAGCGTCCCGGCCCGCGCCCCGCGGCGGCCGACCCGCGCCCTGCGCCGACCCGGCGCCCCCAGACCGTCACCACCGAGGCACCGCAGGACACAAAGCCCCGCGCTCGGGTTCGGAGCCCCCCAGGCCGCACAGAGCCCACGCTTGCCCGCCCGCCCGCCGCCTCGCTCCGCCAGGCAGCCCAGGGCTTCGCGCGCCGCGCCTCTGGCCCGCGCTGCCCCGGCCGCCGCAGCCGGGAACATCCTCCGCCTCCGCCCGCTCCTCCCCTCGCGCACTGCGCCCGCCGCGGCTTGCACCGCCGGCCTCCCCGCGCCGCTGGCGCCGGTGCCCGCGCTCCCCATTGGCCCGCGCACGGTCGCTCCGCGCCGCAGCCAATGGGCGGCGGGGGCGGGGGCGGCGCCTACAGGTCCGGCCGCCAAAGGCTAGGCGATTGTTGACAAACTCGCCTCCGAGCGCTGCTCGGGCGGCCGCGGCGGCAGCCCGGCAGCTCCGACACCCAGCCCCGCCCGACCCCGACACCGCGCGCGCCTCCGAAGTTCCGCTGCTCCGGGCAGCCGGGCACCTGGAGACAAAGCGAGATCTGCGCTCTCACGGGACCCGCTCGGCCGTCCTCATACCGCAGTTCCTGCCACCCGTTCTCGTTCTTGCCAATCAGGGCGAGAGCCCCACGGCCTCATCTGCCCGGGCTGCAGCACCCATCCAACTCCAGCAACTTCCTCACCTGTCTCCCTGTGCGCCGCGGATTTGCACCAAATCTGAACGACCACCATCCCAGGCCACGAGCGTGCACATCCACACCCCAATCCTCGGCGTCCGAAGAGCCCTCCACCAGCAACTCCAGAGCCCCAGGGTAAACAGGCCACCTAGGGCACGGCGCCGCCAGCCTGCACCGCCAATGGACTGGGGTGGCATAGGGCGCACGGGAGCCTCCAGGACAACCAAGCTCTATGGGCCGAGCAAGTTCTGCGGGGCCGGGGCTCGTCCCCGCTGTGGCGCTGGCGGTCGACGGAGGCCCTAGGTCTCTTGCTGCCAGTGGATCGCGCGCTGGCACTGTCCGCAGGGTGCCCGCAGACCGAGCAGGGCCCCCAGGCACTTTAAACAGGGAAAAACTCTAGCTTGAATAAGTTTAAGGAAAATCCCGGGCTCATTATTTAAATCACCACTGCAGTTCCGCAAACTCTCCCCAAGAGTCCGTGCGCCCAAGAACCAGTACGCCAAACCCTCTGGAACAGAGTGGTCACTCACTACTCCAGGCCGCGGGAGCCAGCGGCGAGACTTCCCGGCGTGGGTGCTCGGCCCGGTGCCGCGGAGCGGGTACTCCAGCTCCCCCGCCGGCGGCAAGAGCACGCTCTCTTCCAACCTGGCCTGCGACGCTGCACAACCCCCGCGCGCTGCATCCCGATCCGAATCCTACTTCAGCTAAGTGCCCGAAGCTTCAGCGCCGACGACCCTTCCCCAGAATGCCCCAGCCTGGGAAGGAACCCGACCCACACCAATCGCCGCCTCCCGCCAGGCGACAAGCGGAACGAATGGGAGCGTCTCTGCCCGCACGTGCGCGGAAAGCGGGCACTACAGGGAGCCATACGGGCTCCAACGCCTCTGTTTTCCATCCGTCCCCGGCCCGCTTCTTGAGACTCGTAGGTATTTACCTTGCGTTTCTCAGTCCGAGAATCAGAGTCAGACATTGGGGGGGACAAGAGCCAAGGAAGGGCGCCGAGGTGGTAGAGACGGGAAACAACACGAACCTAGCTGCCCGAGGCGGTTCTGACCGCAATGGGGCAGGGCTCACAGGCTGGCTGCAGGAATCCCGCCGCGGCGGTGTTGGCGCGCGGACGCAGCCGCGATACTACCAGCTAGAGACCCAGCGGCTGCGCGGAGCGAAGTGAAACCTGCGCGGCCCTGCAGCCCTGCTCAGACTGGCGGCCCCACGCCCGCGCCAATCACCGCGGGCCCCGCCCCCGCTAGGTCCCGCCCCGGCGGGGGGCTGTCAAGTCCCGCCTCCTCAGCTCCCGGGCCGCTGGCGCGTGCAGGCCGGGGCAGGTAGAGGCGGGGGTGGCCGGGCCGGGTTCCCTGCCGCGCGCGCCGCTAGCCCTGGCGTGTTTACCAGAGTGACTCGGCCTGCTAACGCTGCATGCGCGCCCATCCCCCACTCCGAAGTCTACACTCCCCCCCACCCAGTGTCCGCTGTGGCTAGCGCGCAGAACAGAGGGGGCGCTCGGGGCACGGTCCGAGCCCAGCCTGGCTACAGCCGCCAGTGAAAGCCTCTGGAGGCGCCCCTGCCCCTTACTGTGCAGTTTCTCCACCGCTCCGGCCAGCTTGGTGACAGGATTGGTCCTTGAAAACTCGCGGATGCGAGGCTGGACGCTGGGTCTTTGAGCTCTTCCTTCTCCAAGAATCTGGGCCTTGGGGGGGGGGGGGGGGCAAATCCACAAGATGTTCACCTCTCTCGCCCTGCCTTGCGCGGGACTCTTAGGGGACCTCCTGTCACCCCACAGACGCTACCCAGCGTTTGTGGGGCGCTCAATCTCCTAAAGAGACAGAGCCCATGGTGGGAAAGAGAGTTGAGAAAAGAGCAAGGAGCGATCCCAGGAGGAGCATTCTCCGCAGCCTGGGTGCGAGGGTACGCAGAGTAAATCAAATAGGGAAATGAAAAAACAAAACAAAAAAAAAACCTCAAATAATTTTAAGAAAATAAAAGGGCATAAAGAAGAGTCTCTGCCTCTAGACGAGAAAAGGTGGTGCTTGCGCTCTGTTGGGACCCCCGAAATTTGCTGGGGGAGAGACCTGCCAGAACCATTCCTCAGCGGGCTAAAGCTGGCTCAGGCGGAACAGCGAAGTTCTGGCCTCAATGAAAGAGCCGCATAGGTGTCGCAATACCCCCCGAACCTCCTCCTTTCGCGTCCCCATCCAACTCCTCCTCCTCGAAGTCCGTGGCCCCAACTCTTCCCTTTCCCAGGAGACCAAACTCCATCTCCCATTGCTCCTCTGGGTCTGCACCCCTGCCCACCCTCGCGGCTGGTGACCAGGGCCTTCCTGCCCGCTCCCCAACCCGAGGCTTCGAGGCAACCGCGACTGGGTAGTGGGAGGTCGGTCCGGAAATGGAACATTCTGCAGGCTGCTAGGTGGGGATTGAGAAAACTCCATGTAGGGACCTCTCTAATCCGCAACCCCGCGGACCGAGAGAAGGAGCCTCCTCCCGCTTAGAGGAGCAAGTGAGGAGGCCTTGTCTTGCCATCGGGCCATCTTGGTCCTTTTTATGTTCAGAAGCAGATCTAACGTCAGCGTGACACAGCACAGTCTCAGGTTAAAGTCTCCTTCTCTGGTGAGTCCTGGGCTAGGTGAAGGAAGCCCCGGGTTCCCAGAGGGTCTGGAGGGCGCGCGCCAAGTCCCGCCCGGGGATTTCGCTACAAGAGGGAAATGGCAAGGGCGTGGACGCAGCGAGGTAGACTCCTAGGCCGAGGTCTGTGCTGACCCGGGCTAGGAATTCCCGCCCGCGGCTGTTGGTAGCTGCCGGAGCCGCCTGCGGCTCGGCCACTCCTTGTCCTACCCAGGGGGAGAGCAAAGGAACCAGCTCCTCTAGCCGAGAGCCCCAAACACGCCACACCCCGGCGTGCTCGGCGCTCCTGGCGGTGCCGGGCCACGTAGACCCGGCCGGAAAAGAACCTCGCAGCAAAAGAACCTTATGTAGCTCCACCATCCCTGTGTTGCCCGTTCGTATGACCCCGTGAACAACTGTAAAAAAACAAAAGATTTCTGGGAAAGCAATCGGCTAAGTACCCATACTTGGGGCGCAACAAGGAAGCCGGCCTGGAGGCGGAGGTTCCTGCTTTGCACGAGACCCAGACTGTGCTGGGCGGCTTGGATCAGGTCCCCCGCCTCAGGTGACCGCGAGCCTTTAGGGCCTTCTTGTGTTGGGTAGGGAGGTCCTCCCGGAACTGGGCTTGAGCCCAGAGAAGGGCGGCGTGGAAAGGGCGGGTGGGTATTAGATTACCCGTCCTGGACGTCGCTCTCGCTGCCACTGGCGGGGCAGTGTGCCTGTCGCTGTCATGAGAAGTGGAGGGAGAGACGAGAGAAGATGAGTTGGATTGAGAGAAAGAAGAATGAAGTCGTGCAACTGGGATTTGAGAAATGAGAAATCCACGGACCGCAGGCGCCGCCTGTGTGGTCTCCCAAGTTCCGAAACCAATTTATTGCGATGTATTCCCCAGACCCCCTCCCCCGACCTCACCAAGCCGCGGAGGCGCCTTCCCAGCACCCAGGTTCTTTATTAAACTTTGTGTCTGTGCTCTTCTAAAGAACAGAATACAGTTTCAAGTGGCAAAAATGTTTTCCGCGCGTTGTCTTGCGGTCCGGAAACCGCCCGCCTGGGAGGACCAGCCCAAGTTCTGACTTTGCTCAGAGCACAACTCCAGGCTCAGCTCCCCTCCCCCCGCCGGTGCGTTTCCTCACCGAGCCCCAAAGGTCTGATTCACTGGAAAAGCCTCAGTGGCTGGCTAAACCTTTGCCCGCGCCCGGAGTGGATGGGGCTTTTTTTCTTTTTCTTGTTTCCTTTCGCCTGAGGGTATTTGATTTTTATGTTTTGATTTTTTTTTTTTCACCCAGAACCAGAGTTTTTCGAAATCACTGGGAATCTGACTCACCGCTGACAGCAGATCTTTGGCGGCACCCGTCTGTGGGGTGCGCTCGTGGGGGAGCCCACCCTGATTGTCTCGGGGGATCCGGCGCCAAAGCTAGACGAGGTCGCGGCCGGGCCAGGCGGGGTTACAGGAAAAAGACCAAGTGTTTTAGTTCCCTGGCGGCCGTCTAGGCTCGCTCTGCCCAACAGCCAACCGCGCGCCTCCGAAGCCTCGGCTGGACCTCTGCTCCGCCACCAAAATCCCCGCGGGCGGCGGCCGCGCACGTGCCAGCCCGGCCTCTGCCCCAGCTTCGGGCACCCATGAAGGGAGTTTGGGGGCAGCTGCGGACTGGCCGCTACACTTCCGTCCACGCGGGTTACAGCTTGGCTCCCAGCTTGGGCCGCTGGGACCGCTCCCCTTCCCCAGCCAGCGGCAGAATCCGCGCAGGGTAGAAGGCCCAGGCGGCGTGCGGGCTGGGGATCCCGGCGATTGGTGCGTGGAGGCTGGTGTGTGGAATGTTGAAGGCAGAAATCACCCTCAGGGCATCATCCTTCACCGAGTCACACAAATCCAGCAACTGCAAAACATGACACATAGGGGACAGGTCAGATGTTGACGCACTCACAACGACCTAGTGCCAGCAACTTTCCGCGCACCCCAAAGCACCCGCGCCCTCATCGACTATGGACACCAATTTCCCTTAAGAGTCTAGAGACCCAGGAGGGTACAAACAGTTGGTCGGAAAGAAAACCCTCGGAAGCCTTTTTTTTTTAGCGAAAAATCTTAACTTTCTGACACCTAGTCCGGCGGAAGCCTAGGGTTTTTCCGTAGGGGACGGGGACAGGTCTAACTCCGAATTAGCTGGGGAACAGCAGTCTCAGAACTGACGTCCTCCTCTCCTTCCTTCTTTTCTCTTTCCTTCTCTCCCCACCCTTCCCCTCCCTTTCCCTCCTCTCCACCTCTGGAGTGCCTGGGGTGCCACCATCTGGCGCGCAGAGGCAACTGAACAAGAAGAACCTCCAAACAGGTGAACCAGTACAGACTTGCCCCAATCTTCCCAGAGTAGCGCCTCCAGACCCCGGCTGGACGGAGAGAGGCTTCCTGAAACTCAACGCGATGTCGGACCAAAGCTAATTATTGGCATGTTTGCACCGTTCACCTTCCCAAACCGACCTGCAGTTACCCAAACACCAAGGAACCCCACGGACACCCTCGGTGTTTTTGACAGTCACTGGAGGCCTGGAGGAAACGTCCCTGGCAGAAGGGAGGAGGGAAAGATGCAGGCCAGTTATTTGGAGAAGCTGCCCTGGGTGGATTTTTATTTCATTTTCCATTCTTCAGGTGCCAGCACATTTTTTTTTTTCATTCCAGAAGGGGAGGGAGAAACAAGCCTCCATTTTTCAAGTTTCCAGCCAGTCCTAAATTTCTTTCATTCCCCAAATCTCAGTAAACTCCCCGGTATCCTGGCTTATTCTTTGGTTTAAAAAACATCACTTAACATGAGCTCCCCCTCCCCCTGCAAGTAGCAGTCATCTCTCAGCTAATGTTGTTAAGACCACAGTTTCTTTTTGTAGTTGTCCAAAATGCCATTTCAGGAGTTCAAAGAAAAAACAGAGCCCAGAAAATGGGGGTGGGGGACAGAGAGTCTGGGTGGGGTGGGGAAGAGCATGGGTGGTTAATGTCCAAATGTGCATCTTCCCTGCAAATGTGCTCTATGACATCAATAATTTCTAATGAAAACCTTCATTCTCCAACCTTGTGGTTAAGCATCATCAAATCAGTACTGAAAAGACTTTGATCATATTTGCAAGATGCGCTGAGATGAACTTTCCCTGACCAAGATTTCAAAGTTTGTAATTAATACTCTTGACAAATCCCTGACTAATCTGTCAACTCTCGGTGTCTCTAACCACACAGTTCAAAACCATGAGATGCTGTATGTAGCCCCTGAACTATCCACAAATTGCCACATAACTGTTCAAGATAATGATCCCTTTGGGTTAGCATGATGCAATTCCACCAGCTTTTGTCCTATGTTCACCAATGGGAGACATTCAGTTTGACGAAAGGTTTTGTGGAAGAGAATACAGATTTGGTTTATCTACTGCTAAATACAGAATTAAGGGTCAGATGTAGAAATTATAGAAGGCAGATTTCTATTCAATATAAGAAAAACTTGTTAATTTTTTTTTAAAAAAATGTATGTATGTATGTATGTATGTATGTATTTTTGTGGTGCTGAGGATCAAACCCAGGGCCTCACCCACACTAGGCAAGCATCCCCCGCCCCGCCCCAATGAGTAGAGCCTAGGAAAACTTTTTAAAATAGAAAATTAAACAGGAACCCAATGGCTGGCAAAGAAAAGGATTCCTTTACTCATAAGTGTTCAGAGGTGACCCTGCTAATGACATCCTAGGGAAGGACAGTGAACTGGTTGGAGAGACTAGATGTTGACTGTCAAGATTCCTTCTGAATTGAAAGTTCTGGGGAGTCTAAATTAATCCTCCTTCTCACTTTCTTCATGCTTCATGAACTTCAACAGGACCCTGGAAGCCATTCAAGATCAGATGTAAGGATCAGGCCTTGGGTGGTTGGTTGACTGGTTCCAGGTGTTCGCGCCCTCTGTCTCTGCCTGCCAGATTCGGATCATCACCATCATCATTTCATCCATAAAGTACGTAATGGAGTCATCTGTGTCAGGGGCCAAGCTGGGCCTGGAGGGCTTGGGGTCCACACTGCAGGCACAGTGTCTCCTGCATCATGAATCTTGTTGCAAAATTCTATAGACTTTAAAAAAAATATGGTCACCTTAATGCAAAATACTCCTGAATAGCTAATATAGTATTGATTATTGCATTTACAGTATTTTTTTTTACTACCATGGAGTATTTTTATTTAGGCCTAAGCAATCTATGATTAAGTATAGTTTATTACCAAACATATCCTTTTATATTATAAACACAAAAATGGCACATATTGTAGGGGTCTCCCTGACCTGCCAATTTATGACCCTTTTATATTGGAGAAAGTATTCTAAATTTTACAAAGAAAATTCACCAGCTTTTGGGAAAACATACACACACAAATGAAGAAGTGCTCTTTAAAAACCAACAAACAAAACACAAACAAGTTATCGTTTTTTTCAGAAAAATTTTCAAAGGGCAGAACCCAAAGGTGAGTATTGCCCCACAAATGATGAGATCGTGAGATCTATTGGGGTGGGCAGGGGAGAGCCAGCAAGTGGAATTTGAGAAGATCTACTTTAAAGAAGTGGAAGTTCTCAAGAGCCCTCCAGGGACTGGTGGAGAGCAGGTCAGTCAGTGGATCTGTGCAGGGAGGTGCTCATGTCAGTCTGGCCCCCCAGCTCCGCCTACCTGCTGTGTTTTCTTCCTTTGCCTCCTTGACTCTTCCAGTACTTTCCTTGTTCTGGTTGGGGGGTCGGGGGGAGGATGGCTAGGATGTCGATGGACCTCTCCAGCCTCCTGAGCCCTCTACTGCCACTGCCTGGTCTTCCTCACAGCACGGAGGCTGGCCAACTGTGGGCCACACTTGCAGTGACTCCCAGCCATCACCCGAGTGCCTTCACTTGGTTCTCTATCTGGGTAAAGTTCCTCACCCCAACTTGAAATGCCTCAAGAGATGAATGCCCAACCAGGACCAGCCCCTGTCTTGCTTGGGCACTGTGCTAGACACTTTTTCTCCATCTCTTGTATCTGAGAGGACTTGACTTGCTTTGCCAATAGAATATGGAGAGAATTCTGGAACTTAGGCCTAAGAAGCTTTGCAATCCCTGCAACCCAGGGGCCACTTCCTCTGCCAAAGCCCAGTCTAGGCTGCTGGATTATAAAAGGCCAAATGGACAGGGGCCAATGTACCTTGGCCAAAAGCCAGCACTCACTGCCTGAGGAGTCGGAGGCCATCTTGCACACCCCAGACTGCTGAACCCAGTTGACTGTAGCCCCAGGAGTGATCTGAGGTTAGACTAGCCAAAGAACTGCCCAGGTTGCCAACCCACAGAACTGGTATCAATCACTATTGCTGGTTAGCACACACAAATGGAAACTTTCAACCTTACTAATGGAAACAACAAAAAAACCTGCTATAAAGTTATCAGTTGTACCTCATCTTCAAAAGGAATTTCGATGCAGCCCACTCCTGCTTTCTAAGAGATTATTAAATGTTGGTGGGCGGTGCATATAATTTCCCATCCATTCTTTCTGAGTTGACTGTGTTGTCTACCCAGTCCCAGTCAGCATTCCATAGACTATTATGCCAGTCTTTGGGGAAGAATCGATCTCTGCTGTCCAGGGTTGTGCTTCTCACGATATCCCCGATGGCCAGGCATGGAAAGGCAACAGGTACAGAAGGGAGCTACTTGGCTGCCTGGCCTTGGAGGCTGCCTGCATCTCTCTCTAACAGTGCCATGAAGTCAATGTTCGTCTCTTTCCACACCGAGGTTTTCTGCTCTGCTCTACATTGACTGACTGGAATTTAATGTGCATCTACTGTGGGCCAGATTCCAGAAGAGGTCTTCACCTCCATGGACTCCTTCAGTGCTCCTCACAACTCTCCTGGGGACCCCTCCACTTTACAAGTGAGGAAACCAAGCCTTAAAAATATTCAGCATGTTGGTGCAAGTCACCACCCTGGTGAGGGTGCCAGTGGGTTTAACCCAGGAACTTCTTTCTACAGCCCTGTCCACCCTGTCTGCTCCGTCTTCCTCCAAGCACTCGCTGTTTCCAGTCTTGGAGGCTGTGGGTGTCGCACTGAGGATCACCTCCTGCGTCACAGTCAGTGTGTAACTCTTGATACTCCACCTAAGATGTTCTGTATGCCCAGCGAGAACACACGGGCCTGCCCAGCCACACTGGCTCAGATGTCCCCAAAATACCATGGCTGTAATGGAGCCCAGTGATGATCTGGCTTCAGAACCAGCTGCCATGATGCAAACGGGTGTCCAGAACACACTGGATTCTCTTCCTGTGGAGGGAGAGACACTTTCTCTGCAGATTTTTCTTTGGGAAGCTGGGAGAACTCCTCTGCACTGGTCATTGTCCCCTCCCTGGTCCTCCAGCTCACCAACTTAAGCCAAAACACAAACACAATTCAAATCCCTTCCAAGGAGCAACATGTGGACCGCCAAATCATGGCCCAGCCGGTGAACACTGCCAAGTCAAATAAGTTGCCTGCAGCTAGTAAAGACTTCTAGCAAAGACTTCCAAACTCAGGAATGCACAGAAGCTTTGGCCTGACTTATCCCCACCCATTCGCTTCTCCTGAAGGACTGCCTATGCTTTATAAAGACAATTGTTGGTGGTAGGTGATGGTGGCTAATGTGCCACCTGAGCCCCTATTGCCTGACCAGTGATCAACCCTTCCTGTGGCACAGTCTCACACGGTGCTGTGATTCTGTCTCTCTCAGTTCACTGCCCCAGAGTGCTCCTCAAGGCAGGGTTGGGCCGTAGCTTGCTGGGCCTCCCAGTCCCAGGAACAGGTACATTTTCCTGGTTTCCTTGACAGCCAAGTTTTGATAGCATGAAACAAAACTCTGTGGTTCAAACAATAACCAGGACTCC